AATGAACTACTGTCTATTTTCCAAGAAATCGACCACCGAATGTCTTCTCCAGCAACCACCGTGACTGATGTGGTTCATATGCACTCCTCGATGGCTCGTCTACGGGTCTACATATTTCTCAGTGGGTTAGACTCTACCTTCGACCAGGTACGAGGTGAGATTCTTCGTAAAGATCCAAAATTGGATCTTGAAAGCACTTATGCATTTCTTCGCCGTGAGCACCAACAACGAATCACAATGGGTCGTCCTAATCCTTCATCAGAATCCTCGGCTTTGGTATCTAATTCTGCTCTGGTCTCTCATGTCTCTCGTTCCCCTTCTGCGAATCCTCTTTCCAAGTTTCGAAAAGATATTCCTTCTGGGAAAACGTTGGTGTGCTCCCACTGTGGTGATTCAGGCCATTCCAAGACTCGATGTTATGAAATCATAGGATATCCAGATTGGTGGGACTTCACAAAGAGACCTCGACGAAAGGTAATCTCCAAAGCTCTTCAGTCTTCTTCCGAAGGTACACCCTCTGCTTCTCCTCAGGCTCATGCTGTGTATGAAGGTATATTAGGTAAGACTATTGCTTTATCTGCCACTTCTAGGAATTGCTCATGGATAATTGATACTGGGGCGTCAGATCATATGATTCGTGATGCCTCTGCGTTGACACATTGTTCTTCTTGTAGTAAATCAACCATAACTACTGCTAATGGTAGTTCTGCCTCCATCACGGGTCAGGGCACTATTACTCTGACCAAAACTCTCACACTTCACTCTGTTCTTGTGGTTCCATCTTTGGATTTCAATCTGTTATCTGTCAGTCAACTTACCTCACAACTTAACTGCACTGTGATTTTTTGGCCCAATTTTTGTGTTTTTCAGGACGTCCAGACACAGGAGATTCTTGGCTATGGTGTTAGACATGGCAACCTTTATTTCTTAGACCTGCCTCCTCATGACACTCCCTCAACTCATCAAGCTTCCACCACTGACTCTCCTCATTCTGAAGTTTGGCTTTGGCATAAGAGACTAGGACACCTCTCCTTTACTTTCCTTAGGAAATTATCTCCCCATTTATTTTCTAGATGTCTTCCCTCTGAATTTAAGTGTTCGATTTGTGAAATGGCTAAAAGCCATCGAATTCCTTTTTATTCCAGTTCAAATAAGAGTTGTATCCCTTTTCAAGTCATTCATTCTGATGTTTGGGGACCTGCTAAGGTTCCTTCCTTCTCTCACTCTTATTATTATGTATCCTTTATCGATGAATGTACTCGAATGGTTTGGATTTCCTTACTCAAAAATAAATCTGAAGTCTTCTCTGTTTTTCAGCACTTTCATAGTATGGTTCACACTCAATTTAACAGTTCTATCCAGATTTTCCAATCAGATAATGGCCTTGAATACAAAAATAAACTCTTTTATGATTTTTTGCTCTCTAAAGGAATAAAACACCAAACCTCATGCACTTATACACCTCAGCAGAATGGATTAGCTGAGAGAAAAAACCGACAATTATTAGAGGTGGTAAGGGCTTCATTATTTGGAATGAATGTCCCTTCTTCTTATTGGGGAGAGGCCGTTCTCTCAGCTGCCTATCTCATCAACCGTACCCCGTCCAGTGCACTCAATTTTCTTACCCCTCAACAGAAATTGGAATCCTATTTCTCTATCCCTCATGTCATGAATTTAGAACCTAGAGTATTTGGTTGCACTGTTTATGTTCATGTACCCAAACCTCTCCGAAATAAACTTGAACCTTGTGCTATAAAATGCATCTTTGTAGGATATTCTGACCTCCAAAAAGGATATCGTTGTTTTGATCCAAAATCAAAAAAAATGCATGTAACTCTTGAAGTCTCTTTTCTAGAATCTGAAGCTTTTTATTCAGGGGGAGCCACGCATCCTTCTTCTCAGGGGGAGATTCAACATATTAGAGAAGAAGAAATCTGCTTGTCTGTTCCTATAACCCCTGCATTAACTTCTCCTATCACGGTTCATAACCTCACACATATTATTCCTTCTCAACATTCTTCACCAGACACCTCATCTACACCAGAAGAAACACCATGTCTACCTCTCATAACGGAACCTCTTGCTATGGACAATCCTGAAGCTCAAACAGAAAACATTACTGAGGTAAATTCTGCTCCTGCTCCTATTTTAAATAATTCTGCCCCTACTTTAAATAATTCAGATCCTACTATACAAATTAGAAGGTCAGAAAGACAAACCAAAGGTATACCCAAGAAAAATTATGAACCAGATCCGAATGTCACAGTGAAATACCCCATTAGTAGTTATGTGTCCTCTCATAGGCTATCTGAACCATATGCATTAATGGTTGATCAATTATCTACTGTAGCTATTCCTAACAGTGTGCATGAAGCAATGGAAAATCCAAAATGGAAGGCAGCTATGAACATTGAAATGGAAGCACTTCAAAGTAATAAAACTTGGAGCCTAACCACCTTGCCAAAAGGAAAAAAAACAGTTGGATGCAAATGGATATACTCAGTAAAGCTAAAAGCAGACGGAAGCATTGACAGATATAAAGCAAGACTTGTGGCAAAGGGATATACTCAGAAGTATGGAATAGACTACCAAGATACATTTGCTCCAGTGGCCAAACTCAACACGATCCGGATTATAATGTCTGTGGCAGCCAACAGAGATTGGCCATTAAAGCAGTTCGATGTGAAGAATGCCTTCCTAAACGGTGATTTAGAAGAAGAAGTGTACATGGAGATTCCACCAGGAGTAAGGTCAGAGGAAAATACAGTTTGCAAGTTAAATAAAGCTTTGTATGGTCTGAAACAATCACCAAGAGCATGGTTTGGAAGGTTCTCACTAGCAATGAAGAAGTTTGGCTATAGACAGAGCAATTCGGATCATACACTGTTTATCAAACAGAATGAAGGTAAAATAGCCATACTCATTGTCTATGTAGATGATATGGTGCTAACAGGAGATGATGTAGAAGAAATGAAATTATTGGAAAAGAAACTTGCTGCTGAGTTTGAAATGAAGAGTCTAGGCCAACTAAAATACTTCCTGGGAATAGAAATTGCAAGGTCTAAACAAGGAATATTTTTGTGTCAGAGAAAATATATCCTAGACATCCTATCCGAAACTAGGATGATGGCTTGCAAGCCAAGTGATACTCCAATAGAGATGAATCATTCACTTGGAATATATCCTGATCAAGTGGAAACAGATAAAAGCATATATCAGAGATTAGTAGGAAAGCTAATATATTTATCACACACAAGACCTGACATTGCTTATTCTGTGAGTGTTGTAAGCAGGTTCATGCACTCTCCTAGTGAAGAACATATGAAGGCAGTATATCGAATCCTCAGATACCTCAAAGGATCACCAGGAAAAGGTATCCTATTCTCAAAAAATAAAAAAGCATGTATAGAAGCATACACAGACTCTGATTGGGCTGGAGATAAAACTACCAGACAGTCAACCTCTGGATACTTTACATTTGTAGAAGGAAATTTAGTCACTTGGAGGAGCAAGAAACAGAAGGTAGTAGCAAGATCTAGTGCAGAAGCAGAGTTCAGAGGTATGTCATATGGCATTTGTGAATTACTTTGGATCAGAAGCATACTTTCAGACTTAGGAATCACATATGATCAGCCAATGAAGCTTTTTTGTGATAACAAGGCTGCTGTGGAAATTGCACACAATCCGGTCCAGCATGATAGAACTAAACATGTTGAAGTGGATAGGCATTTCATTAAAGAAAAGTTAGATAATCAAGTGATTCAAATTCCATTTGTTCGATCCGAAGACCAGCTTGCAGATGTCTTAACAAAGGGTGTGTCTGTGAAAGTATTTGAAAAGTTGATTGACAAGTTGGGCATGATGAATATCCATGCACCAACTTGAGGGGGAGTGTTGAAGATAGAGATTTAAATTTGAATTATTGTTGCTTAGAGATAGGAACAATAGCTAATTTGATTTGAATAGAAGTAGTTTGTAATTTAGTTTGTATTTACTGTTAGGCTGATAGCTGTTTTAGAAGTAGTTTCCTTAATTTGTGTTAAGGTTGTTAAAATATTACCTGTATAAATTCACCTCATTTGAGAGGTAAAGTAATGAAGATCGAAAGTATTTCCAGGAATTTAATTTTTAACAATTATAAAAACACTGGATAAACCTCCAAAAAAAAAAAACACTGGATAGTGGATACCTTGATTCGAACAAAGAAAAATACTACTTGCTCACCAAAGTTTACATCTATCAAATTATTCTTTTTCTATTTATTTCTAATTTTGTTTCTCTTAAAATGTGCTACCAATGATTCACTTTTAAATAATAGTAATTAAGAAAAATAATAACGAAAAAGTTAACACAAAAACAATTAACTATAAACAATAAGCGTAAATTGTTATTGTAATAAAAATAATAGAAAGGAAGCCTTAGATACAAAGGACAAATATATTCCCCCCATGAGAGAGGGGATATTTATTTGGCTCCTCAGCCTTACAAACTGACACTTTGAATATCATAATGCATGAGCAGCAGCTGCAGACACATGTAGCGGGCAGTGCCTTATACAACTGTCTAATAAAACAAAAACAGAATTAAAATAAATAAATGAACGCAGTCCACCAAACAATAATAGAACACTTTTGACCAATATGTGCTGCTTCTCGTCCATGGATTTCTTTGTTTTCACACTTTCTGCTTTGATCCTACACGAATACGCATATATATATTGCTCTGTCAGTTCATATATATTTGATCCCTTAACCAAATACAACAACATAAATATTTTATATGAAATGCAAACTGAAATATTAAATAGTAAAAGAATGTTCATATTATCAATTAAATTATACATAACAAATATATATATATATATGTATATACTGATAAGTTGGGGAAGAGAGAATAGAAGTGGATTAACTGGTGAAGGGAAATTTTGTACTACTAATAAAAATAATGTAAGATGAGTAAAAGAAAAATTACCATGTGATCATGTGATGCAAAAGCACTATCTAATGGTGGTAAGGTGGAGGTGGTGATTTATAGAGGTAGTGTGGTGGAGGTGGGGAATGGACTGGAGGAGGAGGAGACTTATACTCATAAGGCTTCTTATGTGGTGATGGTGGTGGTGGAGAGTGGTAAACATAAGGGTGTGGGGGAGATGAGTGGTGGTGACGGTGATCATCATGGTCATGGTCATGGTCATCATGGTGGTGGTGATCATTATGGTCATGGTCATGGTCATCGTCGTGGTGGTGGTGATCATGGTGGGGGTGAGGATACTTGTGCTCTGGTGGTGGTGGAGATGAGTACTTGTAGGGCTTCTTGTAAGGTGGTGGTGGAGAGTGGTGCACTGGAAGAGGGTACTTGTGAACTGGTGGTGGAGGAGAGTTGTACTTATATGGCTTTTTGTAAGGTGGTGGTGGCGGTGATGAGTAATGGTATGGAGGAGGTGGTGAGTGGACTGGAGGTGGTGGAGATGAGTACTTGTATGGCTTCTTGTAAGGTGGGGGTGGGGGTGATGAGTAATGGTATGGAGGAGGTGGTGAGTGGACTGGTGGTGGTGGAGATGAATACTTGTAGGGCTTCTTATAAGGTGGTGGTGGTGGTGATGGGTAATGGTAAGGAGCCTTTGGAGGAGGAGGTGAGTGAACTGGTGGCGATGGAGATGGGTAGTGGTATGGCTCCTTGGGAGGTGGAGGAGAGGAATAGGCGTAGTTTGCTGAAGTTTCAGATGGGAAGCTGAAAAGGAATATGGCCAATGCAAGAGTGAGAGAAGCTGAGGCCATTAGAGACCTCATTGTTTTCCAAAGTTTACTTTGAAGTGGGTTTTGGTTGTGATCAAAAGGAAGCTAGTGCACTCCATTTTATAGTTTGTTTCTTTACCATTTAACTCCAACCAACCATCTTGATAATTAAATTTGCGAATTTTAACTTGACATTCACCTTCCTGGAAACATGCATGATATTATGTAAGGCTATCTTTGAATTGCTGATCAGTCGTGTTGACTTTTAATTATAATAATGAGGCCCAAAGCGTTTTGGAACGTGGATTTGGATTTGATGTGGCTGCCAGTTCAGATGATGAACCTGGCTAGAAATGTCTACACCACCTTTAACCTAAAAAAAAGAAAAGACAGGAATCTGATTGAATTATTTCTGATTTAATTTCTATTGATTCTAAAACATCGTCATCGAGAAATTGTTAATTTTTTTGGGGTATATGCCTTCGCGAAATTATTTTTTCCTACATGTTTTTGTCTCTTCCTTTTGGCATCTAATTTCGAAATCATGTATGGGGTTCTCTCGAAGGTTGTGTGTGATTTATATACGGCACATAAGACGAATTTCATGATCATCTCACTCTCATCAGTTAAAATATTTGATATTTCTTAGAAAGTAATCTGTCGATTTCACAATTTTCATGCTGTTGTTCCAATTGCCATTGCGTTACAAAATTATCAACAAAACTCGACAATGATTTATATTTTTTTAAAAAAAAAATTATTTTGAATATTTTATACATTCCGATTTTTTATTTTTTTTAAAATACTAGAAATCATAATTTAAAATAAAATTTACTCAAACATATAAAATAATTTATACAAAATTTCAAAATAAAAAATTATATCTTCACCAAATAAATTTTTAAACTTTTTATATACATATCATGACAAAATCAATTTTTTATAAAATAATTCGATTTGAATTATACCTTGAGTTAATTAATTTATTGGATAGAAATTAATATTAATTACGTCAAACACACTAGTTAGTGCAATATTTGGATAGAATCAGAATTTTTTTCTAAACAACTTTTAATGAAATTTTGTTTAAGTGCACACGTACGTCATGTTACCATGTGGCGATGATGGAGGCTGGTGATCGTGCTAACTAATGGTTGGTGGTAATGGTGCATGATGGTGTTAGAAGGCTATTAGCAATAGAGATGGCTAGTGACCAATAGTGATGTCGGCAACGGTTGAGCTGGCTCTCCCGTTTCCAAGAAAGCTCCAAGGAGGTAGATGACATCTTCTCCTATATTCTTGTTGAATCTAATTAAGTCCCCTTTATGATAATGTTTTGAGTAGGATAAAATCAATCACTAGATAAATTTCTTATATATATCATGTTCCGCTAGCATATCTCAACTATCTTGTCCATCAAAAAGCTGGTCCTCTAAATCTCAATTGATAGCCTAAACCTAATCATCAACTAGGACTCTTAGTTGTTGCCTATGGTGGTCACGGTGACAATTTTTAACACAATTCTTGCTGATAACAAAAAAAAAATATTTTCAAATTGATCTGTTTTTAAATTCATATCGAATTTATGTTAGCAAAAAATGACACAAAAAAAATCATATTATATGGTGTGTCAATATGCAAATACAAAATGATCCGTGTTAATCATTTTACAAAATATTCATATTATGTCAGATCAACACGACGTTAGTAAAAGTAACATTCAAATGCATGTACATGTTATTCATGTCTTATCATGTCAATTCAACCCTCGTAATACGAGATTGAGATTTCTTTTAGTAATTATGAAATACATGATATAAAAGTTTTAAAATAATAGTTGACCAATTTTTTTATTTTTTATTTTTGAAACAAATTTAATTACTTGTAAACAAGTTGAGTGTTAAAAAAAATATTACTAAAAATTAAGTTGCTTGTAATGGAATATTTCATCTAATAAGGGTTTTGAAAATTCATAGTTTTGGCAATATATTATACACCGACATATATAGGTACTATTATGTTTTACACCACCCTAGCTAGCGTTGGGTTATAAAAATCAAAAGGGGTACACGAAGAGTAATTATTATCCACTGAACTGAAGTAATATTTTATAAATCCAAATAAAAATAACATGCAACGATGGATGCTTTGGTTAAGTCTAAAAATAAAAACGGTAAGAGGTTGATCCAAAATCAATAATCAACCCCCACAGGAAAGTTATTGTACATATGTACATTTTTTTAATTCACCGTAGGGTTAATATGCAAGCAATTGTAAAACATAATAGATAAAGAAAAAATTTTGTATTCAATTTAATTATATATATCAGTAGATTTTTATTGATAAATTAACTAAGAGTAAATGTAAAGACTTCTTGAAGTTTGTAAAATACTTTGATTAACCGCTTATATCTTAAGTGTTCTTTGTCGAAAAAACTGTACAGTAACAAAAGCTTATCATACATGAAGGGAAAATGGGAAGGAATCAACGTAAAAGATGGTATACCAGTAACCAGACCATGATCTAAAGTGGAAAAATCATTTTGAGAAAAAAAAAAGGGTTGAGCTTTCGAAGCCAGCTCAAAGATGTCGGTATTATTGACTTTTAATATCTCTCTCTATATATACATATAGGGGAGAGATTATTTGACTCCAGTGTAAGATTTATAAGTCTTACTTCTCATCCTAACCGTTGATTTTCATCCATCCAACGGTTATAATTTAGAAAGTTATATTAATTAATTAATTATATATGTCTAATTGACTAGCCCTTTGCACATAAAATTACATCTAGATGATTTTTTTTAGGGTTTTATAAGAGTTATGTTGTAGGAAAAATGATTGCGTTATGTTATAGAGATTCGTTTTGCGTGCTAGATTTTTTTTTTTAAACATGCGGGCCCCACCAAATATTGTGTGTGTAGGAAACTTTTTATGGTAATGTTAAATAATAGAATGAAAACCTTTTTTTATATGAGATTTTCACATAAAATTATTATGTAAAGGGAGAAATATTAAGCACAAACCTCAAATAAAGTTCCACAAATTTTAATAAGATTCTAATTATTTGGTCTAGGTGCATATATATATTTTTATTTATGTATGACTCTATCGACATATAAAAATATTGAATTTAATTTGATCTGAATAAAATACAGTAGGCCCATCAAAGATTAAAATTCAAAGAACAAGGCTCAAATCCACAAGGCCTAAAACAAGGCGCGACGCCTTCAATCACGCATCAGAGGGCGCGATGGTATCATCGCGCCGAAATCGCCTCTTAACAGGACTTCAGAGATAAGGAAGCGATAAAAGGAATCGGTGAAGATCCACCGCGCCATTGAACAAATAAACATAAAACAGCACCAGCTTGCCACCACTCTACTAAGACAACCTGACATAACGAGATAAGGCTAGGGAAGCACCAGCTGAATTTGCAGCCCATAAACAGCCAATCAGAAGTCATACCGTCTACCTAAGGCGGCTTCAGATCCACTATATAAACAAAGGGTACATGCCCAAGTATAATAATCTAATTTCAGTAAGAATATCACAAAAACCTGACCTTGATATACTGACTTGAGCGTCAGAGTGTCATTACAGGTACCCCAGTCAGGATCATCGCGCCAAGGGATCGAGAATCATACTCATCACATCTTCAACAATTACCACCAGCCCAGAAATCTGATAGCCCAATCCAGAGTCCTCATACGTCAACCGTGTGTGATTAGGCCCAATACACATTGGCCAGCCCATATAATATTGGTCTGATCATAATTCATTCTCAAAAGCACCGTTTCACGTGCTGTAATATTCTTTAAATTCTAAATATATTTTTATTTTAATGACATGTTTTATTAATGTAATTGTTATAAAATTTATATTTCACTCACTAATGTAATTTAAAAGAATATATTTTAAGCTACTATAGGATTAATCTAATAGTAAGGAATTTGAGTAGTTTGTATCAAGTTATAGGTCCTAATAAAAAAGTATTAATGTAATTTGTATAGATATGGTTGTATCTCAGAAATAATAAGAAGATACTTAAAAATAATTTAGAAATCTCAAATATTAAAATTATCTTCCTAGTGATTCAAAAATAAATAATATAAAATATGTATTTGAATATATATATATATATATATATATATATATATATATATATATAATAGCTAAAGATAATGCTTAACTATATAGGATGAATAATTAATTAATTAATCAATTAAAATGTAATTCTTAAACTTCTAATTCAAAATTGGTTCGGTAATTAGCATGTGCATTTGCTAAATTATTAATCGTGGTGTTTGGCTGTCTCTGCAAGTGGGTAGAACAAAAGGCCAGCATCTTAAAAAACCAATATTATTTTATACATTTTACCAGCTTGGACAGCGACCGACCCACATCTGATTCCGCTTAATGAAGATTTTGGATTCAAGTTTTCACGAATACAAAAAAGTTTTTTTGAGAGAACTATCCTTATCATGACATGAATATTATTGTCTCGAACAAAATTGCTCTCCTATAAATATACGTGATTTATATATAAAAAAAATGGGATTTGATTTTCTCATATTACATGAGAATTCAATTCTCATATTATGACTCAACTAGTAGTGGACTCCACATTTATTAAAAAAGAAAAACAAAAGAAAAACTTTGCACGCAAATCGAAGGGTCACAACATGAAAATTAAATGTTTATGTAACATAAGAAAATATTTTCCCAAAAAAAATTACTATATTATATCAACTCATCCTTAAATCTTACTAGCTATGGATAAACTTCTTATGTTAATTGGTTTTTTTTTTTTTTTTTTTGTAAATTATGTTAATTGGTTCTTACAACCAATGTTTTAGTAAGAACACCTTATACAATTTCTTTAAACAAGAAAAAAAATCCCGAATTTTTGTGCAAAATCAGGGTAAGTAATATACCCATCCTATAAAACCCATTTAGATGAGTTATACTTTTACCAGTGAGTTATAGTTTTATGACACAATCCAAGACCTTGTGTAAAGCTATTTTTTGGGCTGAAATTTTAAGGTCACTCTT